AGATTAAGTTTTCAAATTCTTATCGTGTGTGTTCAATAAATATAATTCAATGTTCGTCGTGGCATATAGCCAGGAAAGTAGTTGTTTTTCTGTTGAATAAATCGAGAAAGAATTGATTTTTTGATCACATGGAGAATGCGAATTCTCAATGTAGTTCTTTATACAGTGTGACGCACTTCTAATGAAAACACCCCTGTATCTTACGTAATCGTTCGGTAAGGATCCTGAAATATGCTGGAGCGAGAGATATACCAAAAATGCACTCTATGACCAAGTGGGGTCATATTCAGTGATATACACTGATCGCCAACAGCGATGGAACCACCCTAATTTCCGAATAGTGATATTACGAGTCAAAATAGGTTGAAAATCACTTTGGATTCGGAATCAGGATGCCCAATTCACTAATTTCATAGTTTTCCTAGGAAATTTTCAGTTCAAGAAAATTAAATTTTGTCTCACTTCTCATGGAAGCATCCCCGTATCTCACGTAATTATTGAGGTAGGGTTCTGAAATTTGCAGAAGGGAAAATCCAAAGATAAAGTCAATTACGTAAGATAAAGGGGTGCTTCCGTGAAAAGTGCGACAAAATTTAATTTGTCAGAACTGAAAATTTTCCAGGAATAATTTGAATAGTTAGTAAATTGGGCGTCCTGATTCCAAATCTAAAATGATTTTCGACTTATTTTGACTCCTAATATCATTTTCCGGAAATTGGGGTAGTTTCATAGCTGTTGACGAGCAGTGTATATCACTGAAGATAACCCCACTTGGTCATAGAGTGCAATCTTGGTATATCTCTCGCTTCGGCAAATTTCAGGATCCGTACCCAACGATTACGTAAAATACAGGGGTGTTTCCATTAGTGGTGTCACACTGTATATATATCCATTTCTTCATGTTCATAATTTATTTGAGAATATTCCTTTTCAATACTTTCACCCAATCAAGAAGAAGAAGAAGAAGAAGACCTTCAATAGCAGATTCGTGAAAAGGTTTTCTAAATTCAAAATTTTTCCACATCCAAAAACACTTTTTCATGTTTTTTCAGTTTTTGAACTACTATTTATTTTATGATCACCCTGTACTTTGTCGAGGAAAACATCCAAATTGGTCTTGTGAATTCTTGTTGTCCTTTTTTACCACTTTATGCATTCACTTTCCTGAAAAAATATAAGTTCAGCTGTGTACACAAAAAAATCATTTCCTTTGTGTACAAAATCTCCAAATTACATCAGCTGGATCCGTCCCACTATAAAGAAAAGAAAGTCTGTATTCCTTTGGGCTTAATAAGAGCCCTGCATGCTAACATCCTAGCCTCAAGAGATGCAATCAGTGGCGTAACTACTATACCGCGATTAGGGGTCGGCAAGTTCTTGAAAATTTCAAAATCTTGTCTTGATCTTTTCTTGATTTCAAGACAAGATCAAGACAAGAAGTTTAATTTTAGATTTCAAGACAAGACAAGAAATTTTATGTCAATACCAAGATTTCTTGTCAAGAAAATAAGAAATCTTGAAATATCTTGACTAACAATGGAAACGCTAAAACATATTATTCATTCGTGGAAAAGATGATATATTTTAAAATAACATATTTTATAATGTTATTGAATACATTTTTTGCTAGAACGATTCACGAAAATGTAAATTAAAACTTATGAATGAAAATCCTGTTGAAACTAAAATTGCAAACTAGATTTTGAAAAATATCAAATTTATCACAATTTTAAATCGGGATTCATAAGCCATGAATTAAGACACATAAGACTTCTTATGGAATCAACGCCTAGCCGAGTTCTTGGCTCTGTTATTGTTAAAGCTGCTCTTGAAAATAGCCTTTCCGCAGGTACAGATGTTGCTGGTGTTCCGAGAAAATCCTTGGCCATTTTCGATAACGACGGGTAGACATATTTTCATGTCTTCTCCACCACAGTATAGAGCTCTTCTTTAGAGCTCTATACTGTGTCTCCACCAATCAAGTATATTCTCAGAATTTTCTCTCCTAGGCTCATTTAGGTATTTTTCAATTCCATACTTCCAAGAATCTGAGTGACCATTATTAGCTCTCTTAAATAGGTGAGTAATATCTAAATCAAATTCGTTATCTTCTTTTTCTGGTTCTGGTATTTGATTATGTAGATCATTCAATAAATAAAGATCGGGGAACCACCAGATTGCCGTGTTAACACACAAACCGCATGATACATTGATGAAAAATTCGCCGGTGAATAACCATGTAAGGTGTCAAAATCTTGAAATTTCTTGAGTCGAGACAAGATATAATATGTCAAGAAAACGTCAAGACAAGATTTTTTAAAATGCCTTACTTTTTCTCAAGACAAGACAAGATATTGTAATCAAGACAAGAATTCTTGTCTTGCCGACCTCTACGCGAAACCCCGCAGTTGTGGGGGGCCTGTTCCTCGGAGGGGGCCCTGGGGCCCTGGATCCACCAACCAGAGCAATGCCAAATTGGTTGATACATGAATATTATTTAATTATGAATATGCCACAGAAATAATTTTTCCATTTCTCCGAATAGTGCAGGCATGTTTTTTTCAGTGTAGGTTCAGGGTGATGTGTGGAATCAACGATATACAAGCCAATTATTTTGAATGGAGAACTTGACTAAAACTAGTGGTGCTTCAAAAAGAAGGAGGAAACAAAAGTTAGAAGATGGTTCTTTACGAATACTCCAACTGTTTCGGAAGATACAGTTGAATATTATGATGAAAGTCCATCAAGTAGTAGCAATATGATGATTCAAACAGGAATGGATGTTGACTCTGCAATTATTATGGAAGAAAAACTATTATTCCACATTTTTTGGATTTTCTCTCCTCTTTTCTATAAAATAAAAATATGAATATTATTTCAATATACAAATCAGATGATTTGCTCCGAAATGTCAATGCGTTCAAAGAATTTTCCTATCAGAGAGCCTAAAAGAAGAATTCACTAGCTTGTCAGTGATAATTTGTATTGAAAATAGTTTGGAGAAGAGAAATAAAGGTATATAGAAAAAATATCAAATTTTTACTTAGCAAATGACGAGACTCTCAACCAGATATAAATTTTCCAAAAGAGGAGTTTCTCTAATTTTAATTATTCACACAGAAAAGTCATACTGGGCAAATTATTCCAAGAAAATGGTTGTGTTATTCACCCAAAGAAAATAAAGCGTATTGTGAAGCTTGTTGGTTATTCAATATAACTAATAGTTCATGGAAAGAAGGGGTTTTGACTGGTAAGTTTTGTCTCGAGGAAGCCCCAAATGATTTTGGCGGGGGTCCTAAAATATGAAGTTACGCCACTGGATGCAATTTCTCCTTTTCTGGATTACAATCGCTTACAGTTTCTACATGTTCCTACTATAATTTGTGAAATGTAATTGCTGTCTAAGGTGTACGGCACTATTAATGTTCTGGTCTCATTAAAATTCATTAGTCTTAGCATCTTAGTTTACACTGGAAATGAAACTTCAGCAAGATTTAGCAACACATCTACAGATAGAACTTTTGATGCATTTGGTAGTTTTTACACAGTATAAAAAAGTGAAACAATATTTTTGTTCCTTTGCCTTCGTCAAATTATTTTTTGTATTAACCATTTGACTTTTTTTTTGGATGCATGATAAATTGATATTCACCATACAGGACGTGGAAAAAAATTCTGAATTGAGAAAAACTAATAACGAATCTGCGATTATCAATTCTTCCTCGGTTTATTCAACAGAAAACAACTACTTTCCTGGCTATATGCTACGACGAACATTGAATTATATCTGTTGAACACACACGATAGGAATTTGCAGCAAAGTGGTTGTTTTCTGTTGAATAAACCTAGAAAGAATTGATATTTTCATCACATAGAGACTGCGAATTCTCAATGTATTTCTTTATATATATATTTACTTTTTTTATATTCATAATTTCATCTGAGAATATTCCTTTTTAAACCATCTTACAGTTTTCTTCTATATTATTTCATGACATCCTGATACAATGATACAAAATCTGCTTCAGGAATTCAAAGGGTAAAATTCTTGGTGAAAACAGGAGGAAAAATTAAAACAAATATTGTTATTTTACACGTATAATCTATATATACACTTTTTGTTCCAGCTGAAATGTCGCACCCTGTAGATGATATTTGACCGCTCGATTAATTGGTAATACTTAAGAATATTGATACTTAATAATTTTTGATTGAAAAACAAACAACGTTACCAACATTAAAACACCATTATTTTTTTAAGTTTCGTCATTTGTAGGGACATAATCAACTGGGAAACGATATATTATACTACACCCTGTTCGTCCTTTTTTTCATCAGTCTCGATCTCTTTTCACTAAAACTGAGCACAAAAGGGTCCTTGGGGTATCAGGATATACACAGTGTGTGCCTCAGACAGAGCTGTTTTTTGTTCAGGGATTCGATTTCGCGATCGTTCTTCACACTGCAAGACTTTTTTTCTGAAAAATAATGGAAAACTTCGTTTTTTCTGTGACGGGAAACAAGTTTGACATTTCATCTCTGTTGACATGTTCTGAAATGTCACTTCATAAATTACTCTTTTCCGGATATCTATAATATATCTATATACAGGGTGACTTAAAAAAAAGTACAATAGAGGACACTTAAATAAGAAAAAAAGTTCCCATGAACACGGGTCCTCAAGACTTTCATTTGCAAATAAATAATTTCTGATCTGAGGCATCCAATGCATTTTTCAGAAAAATAACTTCAATGGCGACACGACTGCATAGAAACTTAAAACCGTAATAAAAGTCTTTCCGTGGTCTTCTCAATCGAAACACACCACACAAAATTCAAAGTACCGCGAACGTACTTACACACAATCACACGTGATTACATCACATGCGGTTACACGAAATCACATGCAATTTCACAGAATTACAAACGATTTCATGTAAAAACACGTGATCACACGCAATTACACAGATTTACACATAATCACAAGTTATTACACGGAATTACACAGCTGGCACTGTTTGCGTTTCTTTGGCAGGGCGATGCGTCGAATAGTAGACGCATGGCGTCGCGACGCAACTCTTGTAAGGGCGGGTACTGGTCCTGTTCGGCAGGTTCCGGAAGGAACCCTCTGCGGTTCGGAACCCGATCGAACCTCCGTTGCGGCTGATGCTGGTGCTTTGCCTATGTAACCTGGAAAAAAACATAAACTAATTACCAAAATAGTACAGAAAGTAGTATTTCGTGCAAAATAAATTTTATTCAATGTCTCGTAGCAGAGCGCTTTCTATTAACAGTCGTCATCAGTGCGTATCTGTAAGTAAGTAATCAGTATTTAGCTATTGAAAATTGAAATGAAACATTTTTTTTTGGAATTAATTTTTTGAAAAAAAAATAAATTTGAAAATAAGTGGAAGATATTTTCTTCTCCATGTATCCTATAGTCATTTGCTATATTTTACAGTTTCTATCCAAGGGCGTCGCCAGCGGAAAAAATAGGGAGGGGCACCATAAAAAAACTGAAGAGAAAAATCGAATAGAAAGAGTTTAATGAGAAAATCAAAAAACAGAAAAAAATCTATACAGTAAATCAGTTGAAAAATAATCTTCTAGGGTTCTTTGGGAATTCGTTGGTCACTTTTTGACGAAATCGTTCAAGTTTTTGAAAATATGTTGCCTGTGTATACTCATCATTGCGAGGCCATTGAGTCGAGCATCATACATGCGGTGCTCCTCAACCAGGTTTTGATTCTCCTAAGGCTACTAAATGACCTTTCAACTGTACAAATATTACAAGGTAAAGGCAACAAGGATCTTCAGAGCCTTCTCAACTTCAGGAGAAAAATATACTTCCGGAAGTTCTTTGCTCAAAGTGAGCGTTATCATAAGTAATATCACGATATTCTTAATATTCGAGATAATTCTGTCGCCTCATTGTTCACGAAATTGTGTTGCTGAGCAACACCACGAGTCAGGACGAAAGGTAGGGCTGTACGGCAACACAATAGATTTGACAAGGAAATGAAGAATTATGAGAATATATTCAGAACAGAGTGGAGACTATTTCACGTTCACGAAGCAAAGAAGCATTTATTTTGAATGAATGATTCATTCTGACAAGTACAGTCATTATTTTTTGCCAAATTGACAGACTTCGCTTCTTCGCTACCCATGGTTACATCGTTGAAAACATCTAGTTTTCGTGATAAGCACACGTTTTCTCTGGCTTGTGATTGGTCAGATTATGTGATGAATGAAATAGTCGTTTCAATGATAGCAGGGTGACTGGTGAGCGTTAAACGTAGGGGGGGGGCAGCTGCCCCACCCTGCCCCTCTCTGGCGACGCCCTTCTTTCTATCACAAACGTAACAGTCCCCCCTATTAACCAACGCCATTTGGAACACTATCATACTACTTGAAAACTATAATGAGATGAAATGATGAACAATAAATTCCACAAAGGAAATATCCTAAATCACAACACTCAAACTAAAATCAACGCAATATCCGCGTGACAAGTTCACTGACAGATCGTTGTTGATTATGAATCACCTACTTGATATAATATAGAATATGAACCAATAGTGCAAAAACCCATTTTGCATTCAATAGGAATCAAATTTATAGGATTCTTCTCTAGAAAAGCCCATCTCACTGTGCCAAACATAAGCATGTCAGGAGTAACCATTGAAGACATCCATTTCGATGCTTTACTATCAGCAATAACCTTTCTTGGGAGAATCACGTGAGATCAATTGCGAAAAGTGCATCCCAAAAACTTGGTTCTCTGTTTCAGGCCAGGAGCTATTTCACTTCAGCTGCTTATGATCTATAAGGCACAGAACCGACCTGTCCTGGAATACTGTTCCCATATTTGGAGTGCAGCACCCCGAAACTGTTGGATTCTGTCCAAAAAAGGGCAATTCGTCTCGTGGGTGATGCCTCGCTCACAAACTCACTCACTTCTCTGGAACACCGTAGAAAAGTTGGTGATCTGGTTCTATATTTTATAGATATTTTCATGGACGATGCTCTTCTGAAGTATCAACAATTGTACCTCCCTTGGCAGTCCCCGCGAGATTAACTCGTCGAGTTGAGGTCACTTTGGAGACCTGCAAAAATCTCTTTCCAAAAGCTCGTTCATCCAACGAACAGCGAGGCTCTGGAACACATTTCCAAGGGAGGTGTTTCCCGAGATAACCTCCAGAAATTCAAGAAGAACACCAATTCCTACCTTATTTCCCTTGGTTCTCACGATGTTCTCTGAACATTACAGGATATCCCTTTTCGTGGGAACCAGAACATAAAAAAAGGTATTGAATTATATCATTGGAATGTAATATGAATTGATATTAATAATTATTACTGATGGCAAGCAAATATGAAAATGATGGAAACGCCTGATTTTGAGTGGAAAACAAATGTGAGAAAGTCTGTCGATTCCAGGATTCAACTCTTCCTATCAGAAATGAAAGCGTGAAAGACTGAATTATTCTCTCATTTCCTAGGTATTTCATTTTGGCAGAGCTTGTATACCAACAAAATTCACCTAACTATCTGTACATTATATTAATATTATTAAATTCATATATCTGCTATTGTTATTTCTAATCTTCACCCTGTATATGAATACTAAACTTATTTTCGTCTCCACATTCTCACGTTATCACATGAATTTCACCGAGTAAATCATGAATAACAGGGTGATTTCAAAAAACACGATTTTTTGTCATTTTCATCATCGAAAATCTTCATGATCACCCTATATATCTCAACAAAATCATTTTGGTTGGTTAACAATTCACTCGAATATACAGGATGTGTATGAATAAATCGGTGTTAGGTGTCACCAATGAATTGTGATTCATGATGAAATGTCGAAATTTCATTATTACATCGAATTTTCAGACATCACTAAAATGTTTATGTGTTTCACTCTGTAAACAATTACATAATCTGAACCATCTGAATTATATTGAGAAATATGGAGGTACGCTAATGATATGAGCGAAAAAATTGCACTTGGCATCTTTGAATTTCTGAATTTTCGAAAAGAAAGCGCAGAGCTATGCGGAAAATGTAAAGTTGGTATAAACTTCCTAGGGAGAAAATATGTCACATTATCTCCCGAGGAAAAAATACGAGACTTCTGCCCCTCTTTTGTTATCAGATAAACTAACTTCTACTCTTGCCGGCGTAAAAACTATATTAGCGTATTTTGCGGTTGGAAGTTGCTCCGAGTTTTCAGAAAAACAAAGTTCTTCACTTCTATGTATAACTACACCTTTTCCAGATGTATTTCAGAAAGCGTCAATTTAATTTCAGAATAGTCAATTGAATTTCAGAAAGTGTCAATTGTATTTCAGAAAGTATCATTTGAATTTCAGTAAGCGTCAATTGAATTTCAGAAAGCATCAATTGTATTTCAGAATAGGCAATTGAATTTCAGGAAAGTGTCAATTGTATTTCAGAAAGTATCATTTGAATTTCAGTAAGCGTCAATTGAATTTCAGAAAGCATCAACTGTATTTCAGAATAGGCAATTGAATTTTAGAAATCGTTCTCTATAGACTGAAAGCCAGCGACCACCAGACAACATTTCAACAAGGTTGATATTTTCTATGTGTGTTATATCTTATTCGGTGGATTCGTTTGGGGGTTAAAAATCTTCAGTACTGGATGGGCTTTCAAGAGATACCGGGTGTTGAAAGTACGAAAAAAAAAAAACTGGCAAAAACATCATTTCCACAAAAGCTGATCTTTTTATGTTCAATCGGATCCTATCATGAAAGAGAATATACAATTGCCAGGCACTTTCCACGGGGTGTTCTCCTACCAGATAACTTTATAAATCGTTAAAATATCATGACATTCACGTCAAAGCAACAGAGCTTGATTTTGTAAATGCTATTACAAAGCCTATTTTACAGTATCAAACAGCCATCAGTCACTTCCTATTGGACAAACATGTAAAAATCAGAACTTTTTCATAGCAATAGAAATAAGTGTATCTATGATAGTCTCCTATACCTGAAATTCCGTAATCTGTTCATCTAATAGTATAAAGGTACCTAAAGGTACATAAAAAAGGAATTTGGGGTGATTTAATTGAAAACATCACTGAACATCCTATGCATTCTTACATGGAGTGCACTTTCTACTAACTAATCGATCTTGATGCTTCCTGAAATTCAATTGACGCTTTCTAAAATTCAAATGATGTTTTCTGAAATACAAATGGAGCTTTCTGAAATTCAATTGACATTCTGAAATACAATTGTCGCTTTCTGAAATTTAATTGACTATTCTGAAATACAATTGACGCTTTCTGAAATACAATTGACTATTCTGAAATTGAATTGACGCTTTCTGAAATACATCTGGAAAAGGTGTAGTAGTTCAAGGGCATAAATATCCTATTCTATCGATTCCTGAAATTTCAGATGTTGGCACTGAACCATCACCCTGCATATACAAGAACGCTTCATGAACAGAACGAAATGTCCAAGTTCTGGGTTTCCTTTGACCACCAAACTTTATCTATATAAGATTCAATTAACGAATTCTCAACTTCGCCATAGCTATCAGCACAAAAAATGCCTCATCCATACCCCGATCCTCACAAGCTGTCAGGCCAAATATCGAAAAAGTGTCAGATGCTAGCTAGAATTTCCTCCCTTCAGAAAGTTTTCCAATTTCTGGGTATTAGCGGAATAAAATCGTTCGTTCAACACGCTCTTCTCATCGAGTGATTTAGTTTCTGATTGTTCCGAAAAGTAAATTCGGATCATTATTCGCTTACCACAAACGGAATAAGGCTATGATTTCCATGTGGTGAACGACAATCTGCTTGTAATTCAAGGTGGTTCAAAAGCAGTGAATGTCGAATGATCTCCATTTTCTTATTTTTCTGATTATTAATCTTAATATGGAGTGAATGTGTCAATCTCGTGATAAGAATTATTACTTTTAGTTTGCTTCTGGCTTTATCAGAATTCGATCGAATTTGGATTTCACTCCATAACACTTTGCCAAAAAGAACGTGTTTCTCCTGGACTAATTGTTCGATTCAGAAGTTCGAGTGCTCATTCTTTTCAGAAATCAATTATCTAAAATTATTGTATCGGTCCTGATCGGAAGAATAAACATTTCTTTATTTGCCAGAGATTTTTGAAAATCACAAAAATTCTGGATTCTCCACCATTTTGTTTCTTTCAATTATTGGATTTTCAAATATTCCATTATGTTCTACAGTTCTTTATCTTTGAAATAACTCCAAAAAATCCAAATTCGATTGAATTCTCATGAAGCCTGAAGCAAAATAATAATAATCGTTTATACGAGATTAGCACATTCACTCCATAACAAATTGCAAAGAAATGAGTGTATCTACTGGACTATTCGTTCGATTTCGATGTTCCAGTACTCATTCTCTTCAGAAATGAATATCCTAAGATGACATCGGTACAGGTTGAAAAAAAACTGATTTTCTTTTTCTCCAGCGGTTTTTGTAAATGACAATACTTTGGTAGAATCCGCCATTTTGTTTTTGTTCAATATGGAATTTTCAAATATTCCACTGTATACTATAGCCCTTTAGCTATGAAACGACGCCAAGAAATTCGAATTCGGTTGGGAAATGATGAAAACACGAGGAAAATAAAAACTCCCGGTTTTTTTGTGACCACCCGATATATACGAACTGTTTTAGGAGAGAAAACGCAAAATAACATTCGTTCTCAAATCTTGACAAATAGGAGATTAATACTAGAAAAAACATCATCACATTAATATTGAATATTGAAATATTTTTTTGATTCGAATATCATTCAGCTGCTGTTTTATGGAACTGGTTGATATCTTCGTGTATCTTCTCCTTATACAAAGGGTGAACATGGAATTCGAATAAACATATTTTGTAATTGAAATAGGACATTTCTCGATTTCTAATTTCTCGATATCCTTTCCTATAAAATTAATGAATATCATTATATTGTCTTGAACAATAATATTGATGAATACTTCTAGTAGTGACTTATACTATCAAAAAATAATATGATAATGGCTCAAAGACCTCTATTTATCAGGAGAAAAGAAATCGAGATTAGGACTTCAGCGGCGTCTAGTGCCAAAACTAGCCATTAGAACGGTTTGGTATTTGGACATTTTGTTCAGAATGTCTTGAACTATGAAATTTCAAAAACTCGACAGGAAGCCAATTTTCCCTATAAAACGTGCGGTGTCCTTTCATTTTAATTATTTAATAAAGAAGAAATTGTGTTCTACAAAGAAATATGATATGGAAATCCGTTTCATTGATTTGTTATTCAACATGGTTGCCGAAAAGATAGTGCACGCAACACGTCAGAAAACAGTTTTTTTGGACTCGCAAACTTCCAGGACTCGCCTACGGCTCGGCCTAGAATTTTGTATACTCGTCCAAAAAAACTGTATTTTCCGGGATTACGTGAATCACTATTTCCGTGTAGGAGTTGATTTATCGAGACAAAATATGAAAAAAAAACAAAGTCAATCCTGTCGATTTAGAATGTGATTGACTATGGATTTCTCGACTTCAACAGCTGATATCTCGAAAACGAAAAAAGATATTTGAAATTTGGAAAAAGTTACTTGAATGAGATGTCATTTCCTTCTGGAAAATGTGTTCTCTGCTTGATTTTATTATTTCATATACAGGGTATGTGAAAAAAATTTTTTTTTCAAATGGAACTCCCTGTATATTATAGCATATTTGGAAAGAGCTATCTTCCCTGATTTTGAAAATATATACTTTTCATATATTCTATCGAGTGCTTGACGAAATATCAGCAAAATTAGATATCAATATTTGGTCCAAGTTAGCTATGGTTGAAATAGAATGAGATGATGAATAAGTGAATTGACATTTGGTCAACATTTCAGTGACATAAGTGCGCAAAATTTCGACAATTTTTTCACGATGCCATATCCACTGGAACAAAGAAGAGATATTTTGGAGTGCTATTTTTCAGTTAATAAAAATCTTGCTGAAACACTTCATAAGTTTATGAGGAGTTATCCAGGCAGGAGATTACCAAGTAAGAATTATGTAAAGTATTTGGCTACTAAAATTGACAGAACTTCCAGTTTGTCGAATATCAAGAGAATAGTGAGAAGGCAAGACAACGAAGACGAGGAACTTCTTGTAATCCAGTAATTTGTTGAGGATCCTTCACGGTCAATAAGAAATGCAGTGAGAGAGTTTGGTTTCAGCTATTATTTTGTTCAACATACCTTAAAGAAATATAAATATAGGGATTTCAGAATTAGACCATGCAACAAACTCAATTATGATGATAATGAGAAGCGGATTGAATTTTGTCTTGTCATATCTGAAAGATTAAATATAAGTAAGTATAAGTGTAAGTGTTTCAGCAAGATTTTTATTAACTGAAAAATAGCACTCCAAAATATCTCTTCTTTGTTCCAGTGGATATGGCATCGTGAAAAAATTGTCGAAATTTTGCGCACTTATGTCACTGGAATGTTGGCCAAATGTCAATTCACTTATTCATCATCTCATTCTATTTCAACCATAGCTAACTTGGACCAAATATTGATATCTAATTTTGCTGATATTTCGTCAAGCACTCGATAGAATATATGAAAAGTATATATTTTCAAAATCAGGGAAGATAGCTCTTTCCAAATATGCTATAATATACAGGGGGTTCCATTTGAAAAAAAAATTTTTTTTCACGAACCCTGTATATGAAATGATAAAATCAAGCAGAGAACACATTTTCTAGAAGGAAATGACATCTCATTCAAGTACCTTTTTCCAAATTTCAAATATCTTTTTTCGTTTTCGAGATATCAGCTGTTGAAGTCGAGAAATCCATAGTCAATCACCCTGTACAAAAGCGTAGAACGGACATGCGATATTTTTTTTCTTAATTTCGAGTTATAACTCGAAATTAGTGCTTATTTCGTGTTACAACTCGAAATTAAGCTTTTCTTGAGTTGTAGTACGAAACCAAGCTCTCAATGAGTCAAATTTTCACAGGAAGTAGTCGTATAAATCTCGGTATAGTACCTAACAGTGTAGTTAACAATGGAAGAAATACCACCATATAGGTATTTTAGGAAACTTGTTTTCAACACATCGCTTTTCCATCACGAATAACATATCGCAACTACATTGCAAAAAACATATCGCTGTTATATCGCAGAGACTTTATCGCAGCGTCGCATGGATGAAACTTGAGAGTGACACAATAACATCTCTCTGACATCGCAGCGACGTCTATGCGACAAAGAATGCGATATCGCAGGTCACAATTGTTACATCGCTGCGATATCCCTGTGATGTTACTGTATTTGCAGGGATGTTGTTTATGAACTTTTTCGTTATTCACTCGAACTAATTTATTTCACTCATTTCTGAGTTATACCGGCTAATAGTAAATGTTTTCCTTTTATGACAAAAACTGAGACTACGGAATGCCATGAATATAAGTTATCATGGCAACCATTGTTATCGCAGATGTTGTCAGAGATATTGTCAAATTAAGCTAATTTCGAGTTGTAACACGAAATTAGCACTAATTTCGAGTTATAAATCGAAATTAAGCTAATTTCGAGTTGTAACACGAAATCAGTACTACTTTCGAATTATAACTCGAAATTAAGCTAATTTCGAGTTGTAACACAAAATTAGCACTAATTTCGAGTTATAACTCAAAATTGATATATCGAAGACTGGAACCTTTGGCACGATAATACACTACACTGTTTTACCACTAACCAAACCGATTTTTTAACGCCTCGACACGTGTTTCGCTAACTATGTTAGCATCTTCAGGAGAAGATTAAAACTAAATATCCTATTCTACTGTGCTGCTTATATACTAGGTATATGTTCACCCAACTGTGAAAAATACTAACCGTCAAGTTAATATTTGTCATGGTTGAGTTCACATGTTAATCTTAATTTACTAAACTATATAGAGGGCTATATGGAATAGGTCCATTATCCTTATTCATTACTCTATCACTATTCTTAAATATCTCTAAGCTTTCATATGCGTCTAGTTTTCTAATGTTATTAACTTGCTTAACTAATTTGAGGTTAGTAATATGTGTGTTATGATTGTGATTGAACATAATGTTCGGCTACACAAGATTTATCTAACCTGCCATATTTTAAATGGGCTATGTGTTCTTTGAACCTTGTTTTTATGGGTCGCCTGGTTTGGCCTATATATGTTTTATCACAATCATTACAACTTATTTCGTATATTCCCGACTTTTCAAGTGTGTCCACTAAAAAATCGGTTTGGTTAGTGGTAAAACAGTGTAGTGTACTCAAAATTGAGCTAATTTCGAGTTGTAACACGAAATTAAGCTAATTTCGAGTTATAACTCGAAATTAAGAAAAAAAAAACAATCTCATGTCCGTTCTACGCTTTCGTAAGAATGAGGTGATTTCTTGCATATGGAGGTTCGAAAGAATGAGGAACAATAATAAAAGTCTATCCTAGAGTTACCAACCTGATACTCTGCATGTCCCCATTGGACATGAAACTATCCTCGTGAGTCCCTTCTGGAGAGTCCCTTCCGCTACCAAACAGGGCATTGTTGCAGAACAGTACCAAGAACAACCTCTTGAACTTCTCCCCAAAAATGACGTAGATGAGAAAATTCACACTGGAGTTGATGGTGACCAAAAGGTTGCTGGTGTGTATGAGGTAGATGAGGTCGAATCTGATGCGCAGTTCGAAGGTTTCGATGATGTTGATGACCAGCGGAAGGATGTTGCAGATGAAGAAGACGACGACGACACCTAGGAGCATGGTGGCCAGACCGATTTCTCTTTTCTGGTGTCTGGATAGGCGTTGGCGTTCCTTGTTTGCTCTCAGGACCTGTATATGGAAATAAGCCAATTTGTATTATAGTATATTACGTAATAATAATGATAATAATAATGTCAAGAATGGATCGATACTATTATAATTTTATTGGGAATATTCTAAATTCCCATCTCATTTAAGAACAGTACAATAACCTAGTCTAGATCATATTCTTAGAATTATTTAGCTTACAGGATATCAGTAGAGAATTACGATATTGAAAGGAAATTATAGTTTGGATTTTAATCCTATTATTATTCAAGTAAAGTCGCTGACGGGCAGAAACTGCTGGTTTTGGATTTTTCCTAATCGAGATGAATACACTAGTTTTATGCTGAATCAATGACCACTACCAAAACTGACATGAAAAAGTATTAGAGAAAAAACCGGCAGTTGTGGTTCGAACAGTGGACCGTAAAGTATAGTTTTTTCAAATTCGCTAACAAAAAAATAAATCTTGAACATTTTTGCATCATGTCTAAACTTCGTGAGTGGCAGTTCCAATCCTCCAACGAAAAGCGAGCCTTTCTGTAAGTACGTTTTTCTGCAACCGACACAAAAGTCGTCCATTTTGATACCAAAATTAGCTCTTAAATTGACGTTTCTATTACTGACACAAAAATAGGTATGTTGCTAGGCAACATATTCAGTTACTAGGAGCTAAAGTTGAATTTTAGTTCCTAGGAGCTTAAGTTTAACTTTAGCTCTATTCCAGAACATTCCGTCTAAAATATTTTCATCGATACAGTGTTGACACTTCTATCAGAAACAACTAGCAACTTTGTCATTTCAAAAGGAACACCCTGTATTTTATTGCATTCTCAGATTCTTCCTGAAGAGCTGATTTCATCAATGCATCACACTTGGGGTCTAGCAGGAATGATTACAGAGATATATAGGGTGTTCAAAATCGAGATTTTTCAATTTTAGGATTTTTTTGTGTCGAAACTATTCATTATCGATCAAAATGTCCCTATCTTAACTTTTGGTTCATTATCTACTGGAATTCTATTGAAAAGAATACTAATACTAATCTGTCAGTCAGGTATACACCGTGTCCCAGCTAAAATGTCCCCCCCTGTAAAAAATCAACCGCGCGATCGAGTGACTTGAAATTTGGTCACCCAGTATATTTGATGATGCTCACTCGAATTATGCTATTGAATGAATCGTAGGTATACAGGGTCACACCGAAGTGCACCTCAACTTCATTATTTGAATAGGGACACCCAGTATATTATTCCATATTCAAGTAGAGTTCATTATTACAAATTCAACAATGCTGGGTTTGATTGGATTTTTTCAAACGACTACGAAGATATGGCAAAAAATAAAACGATTCAATAAAAAATTTATATGATTAGATTTCATCAATATAACACGATTGAAATCGAATGAAAAGAAAATAATTAAAATCTGATAACCACCAATTGTCTCGATGGTGATAGCAACTGGCCAGCTCGGTGGCCAGATCTCATCCCACTTGATTTTTATTTGTGGGGCTACTTGAAACAACAGCTTTATGAGTCGCCAATTGTGAATATGGAAGAAATGAAAGAGAAAATCATAAATTTATGCGCACAAATTGATCGCAACGTGATACATAGGGTCACAATGAACGTTATCAGAAGAGCTAGGAAATGTTTGCAGCAGAATGGACGACATATTGAGCAGTTGAGGTTTTAATTATTTTCTTTTCATTCGATTTCAATCGGGTCATATTAACAAAATCTATCAGAAACAACTAGCAACTTTGTTATTTCAAATGGAACACCCTGTATTTCATTACATTCTTAGATCTTTTCTGAAGAGCTGATTTCATCAATGCATCACACTTGGGGTCTAGCAGGAATGATTACAGAGATATAGAGTGTTCAGAATCGGGATTTTTCATTGTTACGATTGGTTTTTGTCGAAACTATGCATTATCGATCAAAACGGCTTACATGTCCCTATCTCAACTTTTGATTCACCATCTACTGGAATTTAATTGGAAAAAATACAGCGTGCTTCAAGATTCAGAATTCTGATCACCCTGCATCTGTTTCAATTGAATGGCATTCGAAAGTTAAGATAGGGACATGTAAGCCGTTTTGATCTATAATGTTTAGTTTTTTAACTTTCGACACCATATAAAGGGCTCAGTCAGGTATATGGTGGGAATCCTTCACAAGTTTCAAATTTACCTCTCTTATGTTAATCTGCCACGCTCGAGTAAATCCCGAAATCCCCGCTTGGGCTGCCCTACTATCACTCATTTCGCATCAATTTCAGCTGAAAATAGGACAACTGACCCTTTCTCGATATTAGCAATGTGATTTCATCCAATTATCACCATTTCATTGTTTTGGGGTATTTCGTTGCCATTAATTTGTGGAAAACAGTACCCCAGCACACAATTATACTTATCGCCATTGGCCTTTTGATATCCCAAATTCTATACTAACGAGGGTCTATAGTACTATAGTATCTATTATATTATGATGTAGAAATATACGCTTTGTATACACACAGAATCTCTATTTTGTGTTTATATACCGGGTGACCATATATTTTCTGACCCATTTCAAATGCTTATATCTCTGAAACCATTCAAGTTATCGTTGTGCAGTTTGGACTAGTCTATTTTGATATTTTTCAAGTTTTTTTTGACAGGTTCACCTTCTCTCTTGAACATCCGGTTCTACCGGAAACAAACTAGCCATTATTCAGGTATAGGGCAACCTAAATCTCCTATAAGTGGATATTTCCCTGGTCTATTTTTTAGGATTTTCCATTCTTCCTGAATTTGTAACCTATGCAACGCCGGTTCATTTCATTATCACTGACTATTGTCTATAATGTCCATTGTTCGATCAGCCCAATCAATATTGTGGGTATCTGTAATTCGTATTAGAGACTAGAATTTCGTATATGCGTATACAAAGCGCAATCTGTTTGGACAGAGATAGTGTCATTGAGCTACATTGAATTGAAATAGGAAAAGAAGGAAAATGTGTTTTTTTACGCTTATCACAATGAAAACTGACCTATAAGTAATTTGAATAATATGCGACCTTGACAAATAATTTGCATAAACATTAACATACATTGCAAAATAAGTTAGGTTTGCTCAGTAAAAAAATGTCGTAACGCCATCCGTTTTCAAGATACAAGGTGTTGAAACAATATTTTTTGTACACATTTTTTACGATTATGTTGAAACTACTGACAACATTGTGATGAAATTTTGTATGGATGTTTCTTGGAATCTGATACATCGCATGCATTTGTTTTCATATCTGACTCTCATAGAGGGCGCTAGTTACACGGTTCGTACCGAGTAGTTTTGAACATAACTCTTTTGAGGTTAGATTTTTCAATCCAAATTTGATGTGAACTTGAACATCGTTCAATTTCACACCAAAAAGGTAGACCTGGTAAAACTCGATACTGTGTTCTGTTTTCGGAATATTTCGATTTGAAAATGATGAAGTGGTAACTGTTGCTGGTATGAAGCTATATGTATTAGAGTGAGTATTATGAAAAATTGTCACCTATTTATTGAAAACCGAAAACAATACATTCCTGATGCAAAACTCATTGATTTAACAATGAATCACAAGAATTACATCGAAACAGATTTGACTAAGAACATGGATTACACAGTTTTGTTGTATCTTGAGAAGAAAGTCTATGCTACATAGTTAAATTCACGTCAAGAGTTGTGAGACATAATTGAACATCATTTAAATGACCTAACAGCTGATCCTCAACTGTTCAGAAGAATAATTCATTCTTTAAAAAAGAATATTTCGGAATAATCGTGAAAAATGTGCAAGAAAATAATTTTTTCAAGACCTTGTATCATGAAAACGGATGCCGTTACGACATTTTTTCACTGAGCAAACCCAACTTATTTTGCAATGTTCTACCTACCCTAGCAAGGGGGTTAGGTATTTTTGAAACACCCTGTATATTATTTATAGTTCAGCTCTGAAAGATGTCGTCAGTGGTTTTGTCAGTGAATATATTCTCGTGACGAGATTAGTTCATTCACCAGACGAAAAAACCAACAGCAAAAACACGAAAAAATGCTAATAGCGAGTGAAACAGCAGCATGCAGTAATAAAAACGGTCATTTGGCAGAAGAAAAATATTCCTGTAATTTAAAAAGGCCAAAAAGGAGATTGAAGTGGATTAAAAACAATGTGTTTCAGAGATTTATCTCTGGAAACCGTGTCAAGATTATTGAAGAGAAAATGAATGTGAAATATTGTAATCATCAGTGTTGGGATACACATCAACAAAAAGCAATTAACACAGAGTAATCAAAGCAAAAAAGCAACTACATATTCTGCATGACAACTACTTTACATATAAGTTGGGTTAATACATATCGCTGTCATTGTTTTGTCTCCTGAAAACAAGTCCTTCTATCGATTGAGCATATATATCTGTTGAAAAGGAATATTCCCAGATATAATTATTATTAAGAACATAAAAAATGGATATATATATATGAAGAAATACATTGAGAATTTGCATTCTCTATGTGATGATAATATCAATTCTTTCTCGGTTTATTCAACAGAAAACAACTACTTGTACTTGTAGAGGAAGGAAGATGCGATGATCCTTTATCTAAACGAAAAACATAATCTTGTCCTTGCCTGGCAAAGCACATGATCTGCTTCAAAATCGTTTGTGGTTATGTTCGATTGTCACTGCTTTTCTAGTGTCCGTACTCTAATAAACAAAAACGTCAAAACAGCAGTGTCAAGTACATTTAGGAACTCTACAGCTAAGCAACATTTCTCACGAACCACCCTCTATAAATATCCCTCGCGCGTGTCTCACAACGGTCTCACCCTCTCTCACCTGTCTATAAATCGACGCATTCAACACAGCCAACATCCCGAACGGCAACAGGTACATGCAAATCAGGTACAGCCAATGAATGTAGATCGCCCTGTAAGCAGGATCATCCCTGAACGGCGTAGACTGGGGACAATAAACTGTCTCATTGTGCACCGAGCTCCATTCCTTCTGAATGGCAGCCTCCCACAGCCTCGGCAGATTGTAAGCCGCCGAAAAAGCTATGATAGCTATCACGTAAATCCGCGCCCTTCCATAAGTGCACAGGGATTTCGCCCTTAAAGGGTGACAAACAGCGACAAAGCGTTCCAAAGACACCACCAAGGTCAAGTAAACAGACGCAGTTTGAGCTACCGTGGCTAGAGGGAACACCACTGGGGTTATATGAGGGTAAACCACGTAGTAATAGTTGAACATGTAGCTACTGTAAGGGTATATCCCAGGTAACCCGAATAGTAACATGCTTGTTACTATGAGCACGGTGTCGATTCTTGCCAGACCGATCAGGAGGTAGTTGATGCTGGATCGCATTTGAGGCCTGGAGAGGATGATCATGGAGATGATGTTGCCTAGGACACCAAGCAAGCCTACTAGATTGATGAGCAGTCCGTTGGTGATGAATCTGAAGGAGTTGATGACTTCTGTGTCATTGTTGATGCAAGACTCGAAGTCACTATCGTTGGGGTTAGCTAGGGATATCGGCCATATGGTGATGGGGGAAGATTGGTTGGTGACGTTTGGAGAGACAGAACTACCATCCAACATGATGGGGGGACAGATTCGTTGAAATTTATTCTTGTAACTTTCCCACGACCCTAGCAACCATATTGGCTCATCGATTTTCCAGCTGCGAAAAGTACCACATTATAAAATTTGTCCTGCTTGTCTAGGTACAAGGACAATCCGGCGAAGTAAATCGCCTTTTGAACAGGATCATTTCGGAAATGCTTTGGGTTAATGTCCTTATGATGATTCAGCTACCGATTGGTATGAGAAATGCCCTGGGAAGTTTTGATTAGGTGGTCGAGGGGTATTCTGGTTCACTAAGGGTGCTTGTGAAGAGTGTCATTTGGTGGTTCTAGCCGAAGACAAACGGTCGGAGATGGTTCTTTTTTTTGGTAGGACACCTGCAACAAAATAAGGATTGTTAATGAAATTATCAATTCGAATTTGTCTGGAGTTATGCATAAAGAATAGAAATAATATTCAACCAGCTAGTATATTATTGAGGACCAATAATAATCGAGACATTTCAACGTATACAAGCAACAAAGGTATAATGGTTTAAACCGTGATAGATTGGATGATGATTTGGCTCACGAAAATTCAGGGCTGAAAATGCTTCAACAATGGGAGGATAATCTGTTGGTGTTTGCTGATAGCTGGCATATATCGTGGTGGAGAGATAGTTTGGTTCACTGAGGGTGCTTTTGAAGAAGGTGATATCTGCAAAAGGCCATATGGGGCTAACCGAAGACGAAAGTATCTCTGGAAGATATTTCCATCATCGGTCAAGGATGTTTGTTCTCTTTGGTGGGACACCTGCAACAAAATGTCAATATCCATAAAAAAATAATACTTTATATTCGAAATAATAGAATGCACTTCCAGTCAAACCGGAAGTGTAATATTCCGTCTGATACTAACAATCATACACTCGTGTAATCAAATTGATGTACCGAAACATCTATCCAGAATTGCAACGAAGGGTGGGGGGGAGTGGGGGTGAATTGGTTCCGAGTTAACCGGTAGAATAGAAGGTATACCGTCAATAGGAAATCATATTACGAATTCGTTTTCTGATAAATTAAGTGAAGTAAATCGGTATATAATGTAAAATGGTTGAACTATTCACGCAGTTTAATGATTCCCAGGGGAGAAGCATAGTAATTGCCAATTAACATAGCTGGGAATATCATAGACCTATTACTATCCCATTAGGGAATGCAATGAATGATTCAAAGCCCGTTCATCGTATACAGAGAGCGATAACTTCATCAAATTACATCACCTAATGCGTGTCCCAAATTAATAACACTTTGTAGAACAAAATTAGGAAGGATCTAATCATTATATGGTTATGGATATAATCCGTGTTTTATGTTGATGTTTGTCTCAAAATTTGAAGGATTACTGACATTTAAGGAATTGAATTTGTGAAGTCAGATCATGAAGCATAAAGGTGAGGTGTCCAACAATTCATGTTGATGTTTTCGGAACATGGCCATGTTTAAATTATCCTTCAATCTTTGACTAGAATGGTACCAGGTGACGCAGACTGTCGGTATCCCCCTTTTTTCTCCTTTTTTTTTCTGGTGAAATTTGGAACATCAAATATGCTCACTACAGGGTAATTTCTCACATTTTAGGATTTTTTTATCTATGTCGGTCTACCTGGAAATGACATGAAGTTTCGATTTTCAATTGGAACACCCTGTATTTCATTCCATAATCGATTAGGAATAATCATAACGAATTCAACGATATTGGGTTTGATTGGGTCATTCCAAACGAACCCTGAAACTGTTGAATTCTGTCCAAAAAAGGGCAATTCGTCTCGTGGGTGATGCCTCGCTCACAAACTCACTCACTTCTCTGGAACACCGTGAAAAAGTTGACGATCTGGCCCTATTTCATAAATATTTTCATGGACGATGCTCTTCTGAAATATCAACAATTGTTCCTTCCTTGGCAGTCTGGCCCGTCGAGTTGAGGCTTCGCACCCCTTCGTGGTTACTTTGGAGACCTGCAGAACATCTCTTTCCAAAGACTCGTTCATCCAACACATTGCCAAGGGAGGTTCTGGAACACATTGCCAAGGGAGGTGTTCCCCGAGGCATATAACCTCCAGAAATTCAAGAAGAACACCAATTCCTACCTTATTTTCCTTGGTTCTCACGATGTTCTCTGAACATTACAGGATATCCCTTTTCGTGAGAACCAGAATATAAGAAAATAAATACTCATTATTATCATGGCTTGAGTGTCAAGGGGTTTCTGTCCTCAAGAATAAGAATCTTGACAAGATTATAGTGGTCCTTGATTCAAGATTCCTGGAGTTTATTTAAGATTCAAGATTCTTTCTTTGAAAATTGTTGGGGAAGGTACTATCCCAAAAAGAAACTACTTGATTTAGCTTTTTTCGAAAACATTTATAGTCATAATTGTGGCCGTGAAAAATGAAAACAACTGAAATTATATACAAAATACACACAATATAACAATACACATAGTTACTCGATCAATACTTGAAAACAAATACTTCAAACTTGAAGTGAAAAATTGATGATGTCGTCTATGTTACTTTTAATGAGGTCATTAATCTGATCTTCTGTTGGAAATGGCAGGATATTTTCTATGATTTGATCTAAAAATAGAAATGAAAAATTTCAATTGGAAAATCGATACAATAGAGTTTTACTATGTATACAGGTCATACGCAGCATGCAATGCCTGATTTATATTTGTAAAAATCAAATACTTCCTTGTCACCTCATCTCAAGTTTTGTTTTATGAACGCTAGAGCATTGCTTTTCACTGAAATTAATGAAAAGCTGACGAAATAAATTTGATTTTGAATCAAGCTACCTGCTCTTGGATCAAATAACTTATTCTACAGCCTATACAGCTATCGTTCGATGATTTTTTTTTCAGAAACAAACTGACATTTTGAAGGAAATGTAATTATTTTGAATGGTACCATAATGTTTAGACCAATGTGCAACAAGGAGACATTCTCCACATTATCAAAATCATAGATTTCAAAATTATTACCGGAACGATAGTTTGAAACTGGTTGGCATAACACTTGTTGAAATTTTTCGAGACCTGAATACAATTGATCCAATATACCTAGTTATCCAGACATAGAAGATTCACAAGAAACCATTCCAGTTAGTATTGCACAGTGGTTCGAATTTTGAACCACCCAATTTTGTCTTTCTGGAAATGGATATTTCAGAAACTGCATCATTCAAAACAAAGTTAACGCAGTGATATTAAACAAAATAATTGAGAAGATCTAAGAATTTCTTCATAACAGTTTTTTGTGCATCAAGATCTATAGATAATAATTATGAAATAGCGTGCCGCAAATGGTTAATAGACAAATTGTTCGTTAATTGGGGTCATTAAAGATCAATTTCGTGAGCATTAATCAACCTTTTTAATACGCAAAGTCGACAGAAATAGTTATTTGTTTTACTAGGCAGCAAAGCAGTAGATTGGCTGCCCTGGCTGAATTTCTATGTAGCTTTGCTAAATCTACATTTGCTGCCGTGTGAAACATGAAATTTCTTCCCCAAATGTTATAAAACCTATTTTGTTTTATCGAAAACACTCATTTTGTGTTCACCCAATGTCAGTGTCAATTTTGATTGCCAAATTAACAAAAAACTTAAAATTTTCATATTGTGTCACACACCACTCATATTTTGCGAGAATATTATATAAATGTTTTCCCGCACAACTGCGACCATTGTATACCAGAAGTCCCATTGTCTGTTAACTATAGAACTATCGAGTTTTTATGGATAAATATTGAATTCTTGGTTATTCGAATGTTTCGAATTATTTGGTATTTTGCCAGTGACACCAATCGGAAAAAAATAACCTCGAGAAAAATTTTAATATATAGATTTTCGGTTTGGCCTCAATGTACGCCCACATAGTGAACGACAATCACGTTCAGTGGACTCATGGAATTGATGAAATGAAACCTTCAGTTTGTCATTCTAACTCGACACGCCATTTTCCTGCAATGCGATCGAAGATCTTATCACAAAATGTCCTCGTTATATTATTATTGCTGCGGGCTGTGCCATGACGTTGTTTCGATTTTTCTACACACTGTGAATTTTCATACATTATACAGGATGTTTCACATAGACCACACATTACAAGTTTTCCGACTTCGGTAATTTTCCAATGCTGATTCAAAATTCACCTGAGTCCATATTATTTTTTTATGTTCTGGTCCCCACACGAAAAGGGATATCCTGTAATATTCAGAGAACATCGTGAGAACCAAGGGAAATGAGGTAGGAATTTGTGTTCTTCTTGAATCTCTGGAAGTTATATGGCTCTGGGAGCACCTCCCTTGGCAATATGTTCCAGAGCCTCACTGTTCGTTGGATAAACGAGTCTTTGGAAAGATATGTTCTGCAGGTCTCCAAAGTGACCACGAAGTGGTGCGAAGCCTCAACTCGACGGGTTAATCTCGCGGGGACTGCCAAGGAAGGAACAATTAATTGTTGATATTTCAGAAGAGCATCGTCCATGAAATATCTATAAAATAGAGCCAGATCGACAACTTTTCTACGGTGTTCCAGAGAAGTGAGTGAGTTTGTGAGCGAGGCATTACCCACGAGACGAATGGTCCCTTTTTGGACAAAACTCAACAGTTTCAGGGTATGTTTGGGTGCTGCACTCCAAATATGGGAACAGTATCCCAGGACAGGTCGGATCTGTGCCTTATAGATCATGAGCAGCTGACTGGAAGTGAAATAGCTCCTGGCCCGGAACAGAAAACTAAGTTTTTGGGATGCACTTTCCTAGCAATTGGTCTCACGTGATATTCCCAAGGAAGGTTATTGCTAATAGTGATACCAAGCATCGAAATGGATGTCTTCAAAGGTTACTCCTGACAAAGTTAATGTTGGGCACAGTGAGATCGGCTTTTGTAGAGAGAAGGCATGCTTGTGTTTTGTTTGCATTGAAATCTACCTTGTTATCGGATCCCCATTCGAGAATTGTTGCCAAGTCCATATTCATGTTGTCAACATTTCTTCCTCGTTCGTTTCTGATTTGCCTGGCTGGTATTGGAGCCCTGGAAGAGAAGGCGGTATGGAGGGTACTATCATCCGCGAAGCTGTGTACTGGACATGAAGTTGCTTCCAATAAATCGTTGATATGAAGTAGAAATAGTGTTGGTGCTAGAATTGATCCTTGCGGAACACCAGCATTTACGATAGACATTTGTACTTCTTGACAATATACTGGTACAATGAACTCAGTTGTTCCAAAACAGGAACAATGAGATTTTTTCAAAGTAATAAAAAAATAAACATTTTCAATTTCATATGTTGTTTTAACAATCATTCTAACCTTGTTCTTTTCCAAAACAAAAATTGTTTAGCTA